TTATTGTGACAGAATTTCCAATTTCTTTATTTTTCAAATTTGAAAGAACTCATTTCTAGATGGTATTTTCTCAGACACTAAGGTATCCCAACAAGATTCATAAATACGATTTTCTGACACAGGCAATAAAGTCTGCAGAAAATTCACCGAATGACAACATCTCTTCTTTCAAGTATAAAAGATGAAGGAGAATTAGCAGTTATGATTCATTTTCCAATACAGATACAAATTTAAGTCCTGATTTTTTTAGCAGACAACACAATCTTGTTTGCTGAAACTAAAGCATTTGCTGCACAAGGTCAAGGACTTTAGTCTTCTATATGGATTGAAGCTCAACATCAAAAAGACAAAGATTTTTACCACTAGGCCAATTGACAAGCCACAATAGATGGAGAAAATATTGATATTGTTAATAATTTCAGCTTGTCTGGCTCAATAATCAACATTCTTGGCACCAGTAGTCAGAAAATTAAATGACAAATTGCATTATGGAAATTTAGTCAGAGACCTCTCCTGAGTGCTAAAGAGCAATGATGTCAGTCCAGAGACTAAGATGTGCCTGACTCAGGCCACGGCCTTTGCAATTACTTGCTATGCATCAGAGAGCTGGACAATGACTAAGGATGACAGAAGAATCAATGCCTTTGAGTTGTGGTGCTGGAGAATAGTCTTGAACTTATCATGGACAACCAATAGAGCAAACAGGTCTGTTTTGGAGAGGGTAGAACCAAGCTGCTCCTTGGAGACAAAGATTTTGGAGCTCTGTTTCACGGTTTCTAGGCACATGGCCGAGAAGGACATCATGCTTGGAAGGGTGGAGGGACAGCTCAGGAGAGGAAGGCCCCTGATGAGATGGATTGACACAGTAACTGGAATAAGGGTGGGGGGTAGGTGTGTTGGAGACAGACTGGCTCAGGACAGGGCAGGGTGCAGAGCTATTGTACATAGGGTCACAATGAGTTGTAGGTGACTTGACAGTACATCCCAACAATAACAACAAAGGAGCTCTGCAGGTGTAGACCACATGGAAGCCATAGCCACATGATGTACAACAGAACAAAACATGCACCTGCTCACAGTCTCTGCTGTGTTTGAGCCCCTCATTGTAGACATCGTGGTGGTCTGTCTCACAGAGGCTCTTCTTTATCACCGACTTGACCAAGCATGATGTCCTCCAGGGACTGGGTCCTCCTGATATCTGTGGAATACGTCACTATTTTTTTTTAAATTTTATTATTTTTTTGTGTGTATAGTTAAATTGTGTCTGACTGGTACAGGAGATTGTCCCTCCTCCAGCAGAGCATCTGGTGGATTTGAACTGCATACTTTGGGATTGCAGCACAGCTTTTTGCCACTAGGCCACCAGAGCTCGGAATACGTCACTATTAGAACACTATTCCACCACTCATCTGACTCATTTGTGTTGGTCTGCATGCTTCTGTGATAATGGAAGCTATGCCATGGCATTTCACATACTAGCAGATTCACCCAAGGTGAACAGGTTTCAGTAGAACTTTCAGACTAAGACAGACCAGGAAGCAAGACTTGTGCTTCTTTTCTGAAATCATTGACCTTAATTTTTCTTGTGTGTGAGTGAGAAAAATTTATATTTAGAATTAGCCAGCTGGACTCAGTTTAGATGATCCCAATTTTGTTGGCAACGTCCAAAGCATCATAGTCAGGAGCAAGTCGAACATAGGCCTTCTACTCTCCATCAGGCCTAATCAAAGTGTTGACCTTGGCCACATCAATGTCATAGAGCTTCTTTACAGCTTGTTTAATTTGGTGCTTATTGGCCTTGACATCCACAATGAACACAAGTGTGTTGTTATCTTCTATCTTCTTCATAGCTGACTCAGTGGTCAGGGGAAATTTGATGATGGCATAGTGGTCAAGCTTGTTTCTCCTAGCGGTGCTCTTCCCGGGGTACTTGGGCTGCCTTTGGAGTCTCAACGTCTTAGGTCACCAGAAGGTGGGTGACATGTGGATCATCTTTTTTTTTTTTTTTTTGGCTGTGGATGCCCCTTCAGGACTGCCTTCTTGGCCTTTCATGCCTTTGCTTTGGCTTCAGTTTTGGGAGGGGCAGGGGGTTCCTTATTTGCTATTGGCTCCATCTTCGTAGAAAGGTGACCTTAACATTTTATTAATCAAAACAACTCAACTCATTGTTGCTGTGTTAAAACCAAATTCACAACTAGTTCTCTAGTGGATTTTCAGAGGCTGTAAACTGTACAGCAGGAGATTGCCTGTCTTTTTTCTGAAGGGCAGCTGGTGGATTCGAACTGTTTGCTTCTGAGTTGTCAGTACAGCCCTATTATCCACTGGGCTACCAGAGCACCTAGAATTTGTGAATAGTATGTTTGTGTATTATACCTATGTAATCCCTCAGAGAAACGGTAGGGAGAAATGTTTAAATTTACCTCTGTGAGAGATGCCTGTATCCTCTTTTCTATCTTAATAGACTCCAGATTAGTTTATTTCCTTTCATAATCAAACATTACTTTGTTTGTAAGTCTTGTTTTTGAGCACTCACAACGGTTTAAGCACCAAGACTAGCAAACAGGCAGATAACACCATTCCAGCTCCGCTTCTTGCTAGCACAGGTCTTTTTCAAGTCATATAAACTCTGTGGGTGCAAAGAGGGTTCCCCAGAGGGAACTCCCAGGTTTAGCAAATAAAATTTGGAAAGTGTGGATAAGAAAGATGATGAGACTCAGGCTTACTTATTTTGGACAGGTAACTAGAAAAGACATCAATGCAGAAGAAGTCATCATCTTTGAAAATTTCACCCAGATCATAATAAAAAAACAAACAAACAAAAAGATTGTGCTTGCTAAAGCAAAAATGAGGGAAACCCTCGGTGAAATCGCAACACATATGGACACCAAAAAATCGCCAGTGAAAAAATGATGCAAGACTGGACGGCATTTTGTTCTGATAGAAGGTTGCTGAGAGTAGGAGCCGCTGTGGCAACAGCAATGTCTCTTGTGATATTTTGGACACATCTACTGGAATATTCTTTATTGGTTATTCAAAATTCATATTTAATTCAGTCACTACCATTGAGTCAGCTCTGACAATAGCAGACATCGATCGGGTTTCTAAGGTTATAAATCATCACAAGAGGAGACTGCCCAGCTTTCGCCCTCAGAGTCACTGGGAGATTCGATCCACCAGCGTCAGCTGGCCTTTGGGTTCGCAGCACGACTCCCTGTGCACTGTGCTGCCAGAGCTCCCTCAGATTTAACAATCTCGTATTTTGTCTGGAAGCTCTATCCTGGAGAGCAAGAACTGGGGCTCAGTTTCGAATGGAGTGCTCTTTCTAAGTGGAGGACTTTGGGGTGGAGGCCTCTGGGGAGAACTAAGCAGGTGTTTTAGGGTTTGCTGATGAGAGAACCTCTGAGTTGAAGATGTCACTTGACCTGTGAGTGTTCTTGAATGTCAGTTGAGAATGTGGCTTCTTTTCTCATAACTGTGGGGAGATCCTGAAGATGTTTTGAATAAAGGAAAGAACCCAACAGAGTAATGCTAATGTTGTTTGTTGTTATGTGCCATCGAGTCGCTTGCGACTCATAGCGACCCTATGTACAACAGCCCTAAACTCCGCTCTGTCCTGTGCTAATCGCACTGTCTCTGACACTCCCATACCAATTATCCCAGTCACTGAAATGCTAATAATAAGAAATAAAAAAAAAAAAGGGAAAAAGACACAGGCTGGAGATGACATCACTGTATTAACTAAGCAGCTAACAGGAAACAACACACAGGTAACTAACAGACTTTGGGCAGAAACCCTTGAATGTGGGTGGGACCTAGAGTCATCCTATTTCCTGTTTGCTCACCTCAACCTCAGGTTCACTGTATCAGCACTGAGTTCACTCCTCGGAAGAAAGGTGGAGAAAAAGGTGTCTCCTTCCGTCTCCAGATTGACACCTTCAAGCCCATTGACAAGGAGCTTCCACCAGAGCACCTGCATTCGGCCGGCTGCCTCATCAAGGTGTTTAAGGTACAGTAGGTGCTGAGGTCCCTTGTACCCCCACCTGGGCTCTCACAGTGCCCTGCTGGCTACACAGGTTCAGGCCCTGTGTATCCCTTCTCTAGGACAGGTCTCTTACTCTGGATACAAAGGGATGGAGCTGGCTTCTTGTCTTCAATTCTGTCTGGTGGTGCCTGGCTGCTAAGACTTCACTGTCACCCTCCATAGCCCAAAGGAGCTGACCGGAAACTAAAAACTGACCGGGAGAAGGTTGAGAAGCAGCCCCTCCATGAGAGAGACAAGTACCAGGTTGCCTGTGAGAACACGGTCTTCATGGAGGTGTGTGTGCTGGGGCAGGGAGGAGAACAAATAGTACAAATGGGCAAGGTGGGAACCCAGGACTTCTTCAGAATAAATTGCACTCGTTCAGAGTGATTGTACCCATTCACTGTGGAGGAACAACTCTGCCCTGTTTCAGGAGCTGACACATGGCAGTTCATCCCGCCTCACTTCTGCATCCATTGCTCTATAAACACCTCCCTCCTTGCTACGTCCTGTCCCAGACCTGCAAGCTATTGGGCGGTCCCCCTCTGTGCTGACCTGCTTGTCAAGGTCTTTCTTGCCACTTGTCAGGGCTCCTTGCCAGCTCTTCATATGTAGATGATGGGGGGGTCATCAGTGGCCACCACTGTCCTCCAACCCTCTACACTGACCCTTGCCTTTGTTTGTCCACAGTGTTCACCATGGCCAGAGCCCAGCACCGGGTCCCATCCAACTCTCAGCCCTCTGGCTCTGACCTCCCCTCACTCCTGCAAGCTTCTGTCCTCTGAGAGGTGAGGCTGGATGAGTTTTCTCCTGTCAGTCCCTCGGCTTTGGGGTGAGGGTCCAGAGCTCCTCAGCCTAGGCATGGAAGAAGAGGCAAGGCAGAGGGTATAACTGAGGTGAAGGAAGAGGCTCAGCTACAAGCGGAGGGCTAAGACAAGATAAACTCGGCTTCCCCGGGCAGGCCTCCTGCAGGGCGTGGGGAGGAAGAGCCTCTGAGTCTCTGCTCCTCCTTGCAGGCTCTGCTCCTCACCACCATTCACTCTGGACACCTCTGTGGGCAGCCCAGCTGAGGTGAATCTTCTAACCAACCCCTCAATTACTAGCTCAGTGGTTTTCAGCCCGTGCTCCAGAACAGGGTTACCCTGCCCCCTGGTGGAACCATGTGATATGGCCACAGATTATAAATTTGGTTCCCGGATGGAATTAGAGATGCCTCTAAAGGCCAGATTAGTGCCCCCCGCCCCCTCCCCGACCCCAGATTTGGGAATCCCAAGGGCAGAGGCTACTTTTCACATCCTTCCTTTTTTCTGGTGGCCTAGTGGGTAAGGAGTTGTGCTGCTAAAACAAAGGCACGCTGTTTGAATCCCCCAGCTGCTTCACAGGACGATGGGCGTCTCCTCTTGTGGGATTTATAGCCTCTGAAAACCTGTTTGAGGGTCCACTATGAGTTGGTTTCAACTCAACAGCAATGGGAAGGGGTCCCTTATTCTCAGTGTGGTTTTTCTGAGAGAAGTGTCATGGCATCATCTGGATGGCTCTTTATATGTCAGGATCTGAATCCTGGAGCCTCCATTGCAGAGACACAGCAGTGGTTGCATCGACACCGGTTCTCCAGCTACTGTCGGATGTTGGCCAACTTTACTGGTGAGGCTGAAATGTGCTGGGTGGGCCTAACTTGTGGGGGACACTGAGGCAGAAACTTGTCTCCGTCTTGGCTTGCTGTGTGCTCTTCCATGAACCTTAAGGACCACAAGTTGTCAGGCATTGTGCCAGGCTTTCTCCACATATATCATCTAATTTACACTCTCCCTTAAGAACAGGGCCTACAGAGGTTAACTAACTTGCCCAAGGATGCACAGTTTTGTTAACAAGAGATGGAGCTGGGATTTGAATTGGTATAGGTATAATACTAAGGCTTACTGTAGACTAATGTTGGGCTCCATTCCCTGCCTCCCACCCTGGATCCTAGAATTCTACCCTCAATTTGGCCCCATCTGACTCTGCAGGCACTGATCTATTGAAGCTTACCCGCCAGGACCTTATCCAGATCTGTGGAGCTGCCGACGGAATCCGCCTTTTCAATACTCTTAGAGCCAGGTGCTAAGCATTGCCAAGAAATCCTCTTTCCACTCTAATGGCCCTTACTCCCTGAGCTTGCAAAACCGGTTTCTATTTCTAGAACGCCAGGCCAGGAAGCACCTTAAGACCACCTAGTTACACTCTTTTTACAGAGGGAGAATATCAGGCCAAGTGACCTGTCTGAGGTCACAAGGCAAGGCTAGCTAAGCTGGGGTGAAGATAGGGTCCTGTGACTCCCACCTGTCAATGTCATATGCCTCATTCCACTGCTAGAATAAACATGGCTTCTCCAGGATAAACAGAATATTTGTACCATTTACTAACAAACTCCACCCTGTTTCAGGAGCTGAGAATAGAATTTTCTCATCTGTTCCATCCCCAAAGTTCAGCACTCATCAAATGCCTAAGAAATACTTGCTGACCCTTCTCCTTAGAGACCTGGAAGTCATGGCCTGTTCTAGGGATGGGGGCTGGAAGACAAGAGAGTAAAGGTCAGCAATGGGCTGATACATAGACTTATTTTCCTGGCCCAGGCCCATCTGTCACCGCCTGACTTTTTATGTGGCTCAAGAGACCTCTAGGCAAGAGAATGAGGTTTCTAAGAACTCCAACTCAGGTGAGGTTCTGGCTTCTCCACCATGAAGATGAGAACTTTAACTGTGGCTGTATGAAAGCTCTTCTGGGGCAAGGGTGATGCCCCACCATTCTTTGTACCTAGGATGCCCTTGTTGGCATTCCTCTTTGATTAGTACTCTCCTTCCAGGTTGTCTACCTAGGTCTATCCCGACACACTCTATTCCAATTCTACAATTTCATACTATAGTTCATTACTAGTTTATATAGTATCGTTTTCATAGTATAGTTTATTACTGTATTTGTGCTTCAGTTATTCATACGTGGGTGCGTTGGCTCTTCATGGGGGTTCCCTGAGGTCAGGGTCTGTCTCTCCCTCAACCTGAGGTTTCCCCATCCAAAGTTGAGGAGGGACAGGTGAAGGTAGGTGGCTTCATACTTTTTCCTTAACCCTCCTGCCTCATCACTTGCTCCCCACCCTTCCCTAGAAATGACCATCTTCCCCTAGAAATGACCCTATGTGCCCCATCTCCCCATTGATCTCAACTTCTGTGCTGCCCACAGCCCCAGGCTTTTATCAAGAGATTTTTTTGGATGAACCCAGTGCCATAGAGCTGATGGGGAAACTGGCTGAGCTTCTGGCCCTCCCAGCCAATCAGATCCATCGTCTCTTTCTTCAGGGCCCAGAGGGCATCCTTGTTCTCCTCAGTGACCAGGTAAGAGGTCATTTCCTTGTCCTAACACATAGTCTGGTCATCTAGTTCATACCCAAAGCTCACACCTCTCAGGTGGTTCAGATGGAGAAAGGTGGGCAATCTCCTGCGGTGCTATTTTCAGCCTCAGAAACCCCAGGATGCTTCACTATGACTGGAGGGCAAGGAGAAGCAGTCTGTGGCAAGTTGTGCTCCTCATCCAAGGGCTGTAGTCCATGATGGTTCAAACCCAGTCTTCTCTCATTGTGAAACGAGATGAAGGGTTGCCATGAGTCAGAACTCAGGGAGTCTGAAAGTTTTTTATGGTCCCAGAGGCCATGGCTACTTCTTCACTTTAGAATTAAAATGGAATGTCAGGCCTGGCATACTTGGTTTTCCCTCTTCCCCCATGCAGGTGGTCCAGAATCTTAAGGATGAATCATATTTTGTGGCTGTGGTGAAGAAAGGTAGGGGTTTCAGGAGTGGAGTACAATTTGTCTGGTTTGCCTGAGATTATACTGTCTCACAAATAAGATTCAAAGGTTCTTTTGAAAGTGTGAAGATGGGGGCTGTGTCCCAACCAACTGGTAAACATCTGCTCAGTGCCAGTTCCATGGCAGAACAACAGGATTCAGAGCTACAGTTATTTATAGTAAAGATGTGACTGGATAAGTTCACTCTCATGAGGAGAAAACGATGTCCCAGTTTCTACTGTCATACTAGTTAGGCGGCCTGGTGCTTGCTCAACATCATCTCACACAAGCACCTCTGACCACAGCTTGTGTCTGGTCCTGCTGATGTCTGCCTTAGCTCCCAAGTTGTGCTACAGCTGCTGGTCACCTTGGCACAGTACACAGGAAGTTTTTTAAAAAATTTCCATTTAAATTACTTTTTGTGTGTGTCTACTGTCAAATCAGATCTGACTGGTACAGGAGATTGTTCCTCATTCTCCAGCAGTGCATCTTGTGGATTCGAACAGCACACCTCTGGGACTGCAGTGCAGCTTCTTTCCACTAGGCCACCGGAGCTCACTAGGAAGGCTCTGAAGGGGGGACAGGACGCACCTGGGTGTGGTAGCATTTAAAAATGGAGGATTCTAATCCTAACCTTGTTCTTTTGTGTGTGTCCTTCACTGCTTTCAGTGCAGAATCCAGAAGGTTACTACTTGGTTTTGACCTAGGCCTAGAGGAACCCTCCTGCAGAAGATTGCTGTCTGGCCCCTCGGGTCATGTTCACCAGCAGCTTTGTGAAGATCCTCCAGACTCAGTAGCTTCCATGCTCAGTTCTCTTCCTCCTTGGCAGTAGTGGCTATTTGAATATTGGGCACGTTCCCTTGCCCAGACTACGGAACTGGTTCTACTTACAAGGAGAGAAAACAAACCAAACCCCAAACCTTGGCAACTTTTGACACAAGCAGTATTGACTATTGAATTACAGAGACTTTGGATTTCCATTCATTCATTATTGCACTTACCCTTTTAAATTTTTAATTAAAAGTTCCATATCAAAAATATGTACTTTCAAGAGCAAATGCCCTCTTAAACTATAGGCTGGGCAAGTGATAGGATTTGGGATTAGAGATTTCATTTTCTCCAGTTAGTGTGGGCAAAAACTTACTAAAAAGACACCCAACATTAAGATCACTGATGCTCTGGGAGTTGTACTGCTAAACGAACGTCATTATGTCCATTTAGGGAGCTCTGGTGGTGTACTCTACAGAGTCTTGCTCCTAACCCCAAGGTGGTGATGCATTTGCCAGAGTTCAGATCCAGCTCCAGGAGAGAAAGACCAATAAAATTAGTCTTGTCTAATAAAATTTGACTTTTCACCTTATAAAACTAAATACACGATAGTAGGCTCTAAATCTATTCCTTGTTTCCTTCTCTTAAAAAGATGAAAAAATGTCAAATATAAAGTGGTAATAACTGGAAAGTATAGGCCAGGATTCTTAAATAGCTGGATAATACTTATTTACCTGTTACTAATTGTTTTTGGTGAGTCTTAAACCAGGTGACACTGGTAGGAAGATGACTAGAATAGTGGCTGAAATGATTAAAAACAGATGGGATCATGCTTATGTTCAAAGGCCTTAGGAAGTAAGTGCCTCCTACAACAGTCCAGGGCTGACTCAGTTCCTATGGAAAACTGAGCAACTAACAGTTTGCATCATCTTCTGGCAGGATGTGCTGGCCTCTGATGACTAATACAGTTGTTAGATACCATCAAGTTGACTATGACGCACAATGACCCTATGAACAACAGATCCGTATGGACCTGGCCCTACTCACGCTCACTGGGTCTTTCACTGACCCTCTACTCTTCCAGCATCATTTTCTCTGAGGACTAATTCCTCCTGAAAAATGTGCCCTGAAAGAATGACAAAGTGCCACCCATTCTTGTCTTTTTTAAAAATTGCACTTCTTGTTCTTTTGGTAGTCCATGGTATATTCAGTACTCTTCACTAACACCACAAAGGCAATGATTCTTCTATTATCTTTAGTCACTATCCAACTTTCAAATGCATAGGAAGCAATGGAAAATACCAAACCTGGAGCAGACACACCTCAGTCTTCAATTTTTGGAAAAATTTTTTAATTCTTCTTGTGTACCATCGCGTTGGATTTGTCACAACAGACTGCCACTCCTTCTCCAGCACAGCATCTGACAGCATCTTTAAACTGACTTTTTTGCTCTTTAGAATTTGAGAGGTCAGAATCCCCAATGCA